CTCCAGTGCCTGGCTGGGGGCTACAAGAAGCGCAGCCGGGCCTGTGGGGTTTAGGGTTTCGGGTTTAGGGTTTAGGGTTGAGGGTTTAGGTTTTAGGGTTGAGGGTTCAGGGTTTAGGGTTTAGAGTCTGGGTTCAAACAAAGGGTTTAGGTTTGGGGGTTAGGGTTTAGCGTTACGCCGTGAAGCCTAAAACCCCAGCACAATACTTCAAGCTCCCCCAACACCCCAACTCCCGAAGCAGCTTCGGCAGAAAGAAGTGTTACCTGCCCGCCCATGCGCACGAGAAGCTGTTCTTCCGGGTCTTGGGCCACTTAAAGCCTGATGTTGAGGGTTGCGAGCAGAGGCCATAAAAAGCTGGAAGCCTTCTTAAACATTCTTGCCCCCCCCCAGCCAACAAAGCGAGACACAAAATCGTGCAGTTGTAGCGGCGAGGTTGAAAAGTGCGGGTGGTGATGACCAGCCAGACGACCACGTTTTCAAGGATCTTCCTTTTTGTTCGAAGGTTTAGGGTTTAGGGTTTAAAAGGGAGATGGTTCCGGGCTCAGGGACTTTTGGTGGGGTTCAAGTTAGGGGTATGAGGGTGTTGTTCAAAGCAAGCTCGGAGATCAGCCCCAATCCTAAAACCTGAACCCCGAACTCTACAACTTAAGCCCTCAACCGTCAACCCTGGATCCGACGTCACGAATCCTAAGACCCTGAACCCTAAACCCTGATCCAGCAGGGTTTCCAAATTAGGCTGACCAAGCTACTGCAAGAGTTTGTCTACCATAGGGCCTTAATCATTACCTATCGGGGGTCCTTATTATAATTATAGACCCTAAACCCGAAACCCTAAACCCTAAACCCTAAACCCTAACCGTTTTGGGGCCTATTCTAAGTATTGAGGCCCCCTATATTCTGAGCAGTAGCCTCGGTCTCCAAGAGGCATCATGCTTTTCGGAAACACCCATATACCCTAAATCATTACCAATACTACTTTGGGGGTTCCTCATTATGATAAAGAAAGTACAAAGGGCTCCAAAACCCTAATCTAACTATGAAGGCTTCTGCAGTAGTTGCAAGGGCTTACAGTTCGGTTTTTTTCACCTAGGGCATTGGTTTTGCGGCGGCGGGCTCGCTTCGGTACGAGTACGAGGTCTATGCAAAAATGTTACAGAGGGTGTGGGGTTGAGGGCTCAGGGGAATTATGGGAAACCAATGCAGGCCCCTGAAGAATCAGACCCCTGCTTAAGCAAGGTTTAGGGTTCAGGGTTTAGGATTTACCCTTAGGGGTAAGGGTCCTCGAAGTGCGTATCTCCGGCAAGCAACTTGCAGCAAGCTTGACCGTGATGTCTTCCCGGTGCCTTGCCAGGCAGATGGTAGTTGCTGAACAGCCTAAACCCGTCAAAACCCCTGAGCCCTATGCTCCCTAAACAACCCAAGGCCCTAAACCCTGTTTGGAGGACTGGGGCGACATGTATTCTTGGTTCCGAGCTGGCTACGTGCCTCTGCTTTGGGAGGAAGGCCAGGCATCGATTCGGCATACATAGGTGACGCTTGAGTCTAAACCTGCAAATTCTAAATGTGGGGCGCTTGAAAAGGACCCTACTAGTACCACAGAGGTGCTACGAAGATACTACAATGCTATCTAAGGAGTTTAGAGTTTAGGGTTGTAAACTCGGGTGCCCGGCAGTCGCAAGAGGCCTGGATGCCAAAAAATTCTGTGTAACCCCTAAGCCCTAAACCCTAAGCCCTAAACCCTAAACCCTAAACCCTAAACCCTAAACCCTAAACCCTAAACCCTAACCCCTAAACCCAAAGCAACATGCAGTTCCATGTCTATGATTGCTTCCGGCTTCGGGGCGGCCCTCGAGTTGCCAGCGACCGGGTCCTAGTGCTCAGCGAAACTTCCGCGGAGGTCGGGTCTACTTTAGGGTTTTGGGGGTTTAGGGTTTAGGGTTTAGGGGTTTGGGGTTTAGGGTTTAGGGTTTAGGGTTTAGGGTTTGGGGTTTAGGGTTTAGGGTCTACTGCACATCTGAAGCAGGTCCTTGAATAAGAATCCT